TTATAGTTTTTTTTGTTATCATGTCAATCAAAATAAACAACTTAGAATAAGAAATCCTTCATTAAAACTTACTATTAACAAAACAGCTTTAGATAGAGAGAAAAAGCTTCAAAGTCCAATAAAAAAGAACTGATCTAAAATTTCAAATCCAAATAACCATTTTGTATAGTGGAATTTATTATACATATGTACTTCAGGTAAGAAATTTTTCTGCACTGAAGTTTATGAAGCTATTCAAGCAACAGTTACCTGCATACAAGAAACTTTACTTTGATAAAGGAGCTAAACTAAAGCTTACTAATTTCAAGATCAAAATAATCAAATATGAGGTGAATCTGTGAAGTTAAAGTTATTGATAGACTAAGCAGTTACTAGAGGTCTAATAATTTATAAAGATTAGAATTTCCTTCATATGCAATATATACCCTCTAGCTGGATACAGATTTCTTTAATCTTTTTCTAGGATTTTTGGCTAAGCCAATGCCAGAAATTAATAAAGAAATTATGAATCTGATTCTTTGATATATGTTAAATATAATCAGTGATAAAAATGTGAAAATTTATAAATATCTTTGGGATTGGTAAGCATATTTAGTGCAAAAGCTAGAGAAAAAACCCCAAATTATATTAGTACTAAAATCTATACTACAGTAATGCAGAAAAAATATTATTATAAACTTTATTAGTAACAAAGTCTTAGGGTGACATCTTCATTATGCTACATTGGATTTGAAGAAAATTTTTGAACATTTTAATAGCGTCATTCAAGCTCGAAAACTTATTGTTATGGATGAGGCTGAAATTGTCTAGTGAGATTGACATAGATTTAATAGGTATCTCAAATTTCTTATAATGAAAAAAATGGTGACTATAGAGCACTAAGGTCTCAAATCTAAACGATTAGATGATTTTGTCAGGTATATGGTTACAAGCAATTAAGATGCTTTGATCAAGATAGATATAGGAAATTCTCATGTAATCTATTATAATGTTTCATCATACTATAAGGGTAATACAGCATATTTTAAGTAACTAGAAAAAGTTCTTGACCATCCTGATGCATCTCTTTAGTCATGATCTCTTAGATTTTAAATCTCAAAAAATTTTTACAACTAAAATGAAATCAGATATAATGCGTGATCAGCTTCTATTCTCATTCGATTTATAATTAATTATATTTTCTCATGGTGTGAGGATAAAATAGCCAGTCTAAGTTATACATTATTATATCAAAAGTATCTTGAATGGTGTGAAAAGAATAGTAAAAAGCCATTTTCTAATAATATTGCTGTGAAGAAATTCTCAGATATTAGTATTGAGAGCAAACAAGCGCAAATAGGTAGTAGAAAAAGGAAATAGCAGTATATTCTCAATTGCCTCAAAATCGTAGTCAAATTTCATGAATCTAACCTAAGCGTTATGGAAGAATTTTCTGATATATCTCAAGCTGACTTATCTGAAAATGAGACCACAGATATACCCATATTTAATATACTAGAAATTATTCCTCCTAAAATAATTCTGCTTCAGTCAGAAAAGAATACATTTTCACCTAGTACTAAAAAGGATAAGAAAACAGATAAACTGGATAAATCAACCTAGACTCTTTTTACTATGTGGTAGAAAATACATGTGCTCTAGTTGCTTCGTCATCTAAAATAATCAAAATATCTAAGGTGATCGATCCTGCCTCTTGAGAAATTTTAAACCCATAGTTGCAAAACTTAAACCTGATTCTTCTTCCAAATTTTCTTCTGATTCATCTATAATCAATGAGCTAATCAAATTTAAAAGTAACAATCTTTTAAGACCTATGATAGAAAAAAATGCTAGACAATAGTAAGAAGAATGTCTCAAAAAATAGGCAACTGATTATGGTGATGACCTTAATAAGTTTATGACTATTACAGAAAAAGACGTTAACTTATCTCAGGAATATCGAGACAGAATGATGGCAGACGTAGAAGTCATTGAATTTGCTAAAGAAAATAAAATAGACTTAAATGATTTATTTTATATAACTAGAAGAAAAAGGTTAATAAGCGAAGAAATATATCTTCAAAAGTTTGAGAATGTAAGAAAATTCTAGGAGTATATTTACGATGATGAGAAATGACAAAAAAATATAAGCATATTCTAGGAAATGATATACTTTAGTAAAGAACAAATAAGAAGCCAATTTATAAGTAAGATATTTGAGTAAGAGGGTCTTTTTTTTTCTTTACAATTAGGCGATATATAATTCTAAATTATTATTATTTTTTTTTCGTTTATCCTATCTACTTGTAATTTTCAAATTGATGTAAACCCCAGGCCAGATAACATAAACCATATTATTCTTTCTCTCTCTTTAGCCCTGATATCTTATACTGATCATAATATAATAAAATATCAGAATAAATTTTTCAAATTAAAATTTTTTTCACAATATATAATCTGAATACCATAGATTAATCTAACTATTACCCTATAGTTTACATATTATTTCATATCTGTTATTGCAATTAAGATCGTTACAGATCACAAACTTATCAATGAAATAAGCCTTGAAGAGCTTACCCAGTATGTTTCAGAAATACTTAAGCTTTTGACAACTGGTGTGTCACTAATAGATAAAGAAAAAAATGCCAGGCTTATAATCATCTTTAAAAGGGTATAAATTTAGCAAAGAATAGGCATTTACATTAATTCCTTACAAGAGAGTTGGGTGAAGTAAAAGCTAAGTAATTCTCAAAGAAAAAGGTTTGAAAGCTGAGAAAGTGAATATATGTCAAGTATCTGATAGTATTTGTTCTGAGGAGACTATTAAAGAAACAGTTTAACGTATTATACGAGATAATCTTAGTAAAAGAGATGTAAAAGTAATATCTAAAACTTTAATAGCCTCTAATTCTGTCGTTACCTTATTCTGTCTTTCTAGGTTTCAAAGAGAATTGCGAACTCTCAATACTCTAGAAAAAATAATTTTTGCTATAAAGATTTCAGAGATAACCAAAGAATCTAATAAAATCTAAAAGGAATGTAACGAGTAATACGAAAATGAAGGGATCAATTTTTTGAATCACTTTTCATTAAAATTAGTTAAGGAAAGATTAGATAAGTATAATGTATCTAATATACCTGATAAACAAGCTCTAGCAGATGTAATGATTATATTCTGCATCTATCCTGCTAAAATTAAAAATTTGAGTATATTTAATGGAGGTTTAACTGGATATATAAAAAATAGGAAGGCACAAGATATTTCTTAAGTATTTAGATCACTAGAAAAAAATGAGGAGCGGGCAAAGCAATTGCTTATATAGATTCAGAAAACAATTTCTTCTGAACAGTTAAGAGATCCTCGAAATTCTGAATTTGTATACTTAAGTGTATTTTTGAAAAAAGATGAATTTCTCACTGAAAGTGATAAACTATTGCTCCCAAACTATTTGTATAAATTAGAGATAGTATTTGCAGTTATGACTCATAGAGCGAAGAATTTATCAAAGGTTATGACTATTGTCAGTGAATCATTTTGACATTTGCTTGATAACTATGTCTCTTTTGCAAAAACTATACTATAGTTAATTATTGAAAAAAAGGACAACCTTACAATTAGGCAAGGGTATTTAAGCTTTTTGATAAAAACTAATCACATATATAGGTTAGAGGATCGAAAAGGTTAGCTTTGCTAATCTGATATCATTTATTAATTTTATTTTTTTACTTAAGGCAAGATATAGTATATAGAATATATCACAAAAATAATATCTGATCAAAATCATTTATCTGATATATCTAATGAGCAGGAAGTTATCAGACATATAGAGAAAACAGTCTGGTTATTTGAACTGGATAAGCAGAATGCAAGAGCATATAAAGCACTCTCTGGATAGATTTAGGTGTTAGAAAAAAGACTAGAAGATTATCATTTTGAATATGTAAAGCTTAAAAGGAAAGTCAATTTATTAGAAACTGAATTGTAAGATCTGGATGAATATGTAGATAGGGAAACTGTGGTCAACTTAATACATGAAATAGTTCCTTCACTGATTAGTAAAAAAGATAAAGTTTTGTGTTGTTCCTTCTATTTATTTGAGTCCTCTGAAGATTTTGATTTGGATAAGATAATTGAGGGGTCTCATAGGTATCAGGTAAGAGAAAAAAAGAATATCCTTCATAAGCAATGAAGAAAGATTTAGGAGAAAATGCATATAACAAAAATAAGGTTATTAGCTATTGATAAATGCTAGTCCACAGTGATAGAGGTTTATTTTTTATGATTGAATATTATATATTTTATAATAAAATGATTATTGTAAATTGCGTAGTTGAAAAAAATATCCCTATAGATCTAAAAAAGTGTTGTAGTATAAATGATATATAAAAAAGTGAGGAAAATCTTGAATAGTTTAAAAGAAAAATTCTTTTCGATTTTTAGACTGGATTATTAGTTCAAGACAATTATATGATAAAGGAATTTTATTTAAAGCTGAAAAAGTATAACATTTGCATAGGCTATTCTGAAGAACTTTTAAAAATCTATTCCTCAGAAGATTATTATCTGAGAATAAGATAAAAGTTCTTATGGATGATTTACAAGTGCTTGCATTAGATAAGACAGTAAAAAGGCTTAGTTTAGAGTAGTGATCACGTATTTTTATTTTTTGATTAAGATAAAATATAAAATATAGCTAGTTAGCTATAATAACAATAGATAGCCTCTTTGAAGCAAAAGATATACTTAATTGGTTAGATTGAATATCTCCTTCAACTTCTCCAGTATTGAAACCTGAAAAAAGCAAAGATAGACTAGCACCGATTCAAGATAACAATTATTAAATAAATTTTTTGAAGCATATAAAACATATATTTCATTATCAGGTCTGGATTTGCGTAGAGAAAAAATTAAAAAAGCTTTTTTCAAAGGTTTCAATGAAAAGGCAAAGACTAAACTTGGATATGAGGAACCCTTGAAACCTTTGAATAGGTTATATGAAATTATAGATAAAATAAGAATGCATAAAAATAATTGCAACACAGAAAAGATTGAAAGGCCTATTCATAATAGTTTTAATAATAAAGCCTTTTTACATGACCTGTAGTAATATACTTTTATTAAATATATTATATTTGTATAATTTGTCCACTCTCTTATTCAAAGATTTTGGGATAATAAATCAAACATACTTTTTATTTCTCTGATCTGAATTCATAAATGGGATATTTTATATATTTTTTTGAATAAATATGAGAAAAAGCATAATCAGGCATCTTTTATTTACTAGAACTATTAGAATATATTTATATTTTTTAGCGATAGATAAATTTCTCTATCCCACTTTATTTGTTTTCAATTATGGTATAAATGTAATGCCCTTATTCTATGAAGATGCATTGAATTAAAGAGAAATAAAGTAGAGGATAAATTTCGATTGAAAAGATTTTTAAAAATAATATCTGAAGGAGGAAGAAAACCAGTTTATAGTTCTAAACTAACTCATCTTAAAATAACAAATTACCGTTTACTTTTAAATAAAAAAATCAAAGATATTGTACACATATTCCTGAATATAATTCATTTAGATTTCAAAAAAAGTACTGTTAACGTGTAATCTTTTCAGATTACAACTGTTAGACGTGGTGTTAGAGGGTTAACTCTTTTATAGTTTATGTAGTAATTTCAGTTAGATTATGATAATTTAGCTAATTCGCTATCAGTTTAGTGTATTAAATCAAGTTTATTAGATACAAGTGACTTCAATCACAAGTTAAGGTTTTCACAGTAAGTTCGAGAAAGTTTTAAGTAAGAAATAAAAGATACTTTATTTAAAAAAAAGGAAATGATAAGATAATAATACTGTATATAAAAGAAATAAAAAAAGAGAAGTAAAAAATAGAGATATACGAGGTGAAGAGCAGCATTATGCTATCTTTTACAAGAAGATGGTTTTATACAGCTATCAGTCCTATCTTTTCTAATTGACAAAAGAAGTTGTATTTATATCTATTCTATTCCATATTTTGATATATCTAATATATTAACTATGTTAACTATATCTACTATATTAACTATGTTAGACATATCTGATATGTTAGACATATTAGCTATATTAAACATGTTAGACATGTTAAATATGTTTGACATTATTGACATTTGTACTTTGTCACACAATTGTAGATTTATGATCGTCAAGATCATCACCTGATCATATTACTTCTTCCTTAAGATTTCTGTTCTAACAGAAATTTCTAGAGTATGGTTAAGGAGATCCTGATATTTCTTAGTTTTAAGTTGTTTAATCCAGGTCAATATTAAAGAATGTGTATTCAGAATTTATTTGTTTCCTAAATTTTCAAAAAGAAAATAAACACAAGTTGAACATTAATAGTAATATGTAATAATTGTTTGCTTTGAAAAGTCCTTTGTATAGACGTTATATCATCATCATTTAGTAGTTTGCCTAAAAAGAAAGTGTTTATTAAAGTTCAAACATGATTTTTCATATGTCATACTCATAAAAAAGCTTGATAAGTGTGTTTAACTCTTTCAGTATAAAGCATATCTTCGATATAGGGCTTTGGTGATTTGAAAGGTAAGTCTTGAATTGGAACTCTTTGCAATTCTTGTAGAATGAGATTGTCAATAGCGGTATTTGCCATTTTTCTTATATACTAAGCTTGGATAAGTCTCATATTTATAATATTAATTTCACTGATCTGTAATGATAATCTGAGACTCCCAATTGGTTCTTTTAAAATAAGATTTAAATTGATCAGTATGCGTCAGATTTTTTCTAATTTGTTCATCTAATGTTCGCAATTTATATATACCAGATTGTATAACATTATGAATATAGAACAGTATATCAAACTTATCCTTAAATTTATCTCTATGTATATGTGATTGTAAAATATTAAATAAAAATACATTGTCTCTAATTTGATAATCTATGCCCTTATGTGTTTGGTTGTAATATTCCTTTTACTTTTATTGTTGTTACAAAATATTCTATTATGCATCATGTCAGCGTTGTTGCAATTGTGTTATTAAAAGATAATGATATTATTCTATTGTTTGTGGTAGCTTTTGCATTATAGTGAATCATGGTACTCAAAGATTTATAAGTAGTACAGCATGTTGTCTATACAGTAACTACAGTAACTCAAAGGATTTGTGTTTGATTGTCATCTGTTATGCTGTGCGATATATGAATAAGGCTGATAAGAGATAGACATCCCATTCTCCTTGATGTTGCTCAATATATTTAGCTAAAATAGTATACAAAATCGAATTAAAACGTTTAGTCAACCCATTTGTCTGGGGTGATATAGTGAAGAAAGTTGATGCTTTGTTCCAATAATATGTAGTAATGCAGCTATTAGCTCATTTTAAAATAACGTAGCTCTATCAATTAATATTTCCTTTAGAGTCTCATGTCTACACACAATTTCTTGAAAAATAAACTGTGCTATTGTTTGTGCAATACAATTAGATATAGCAGCAGCTTCAGCCAATTTAGTGAGATACTCTGTAGTAACAATGATGTATTTGTTATCTTGCTTAGTTTGTGGTAGTGGTTCTACATAATCAATTCCAATTTGATCAAAAGGTTGTCCAACTGAAATTAGATGTAAAGGCTTTTATCATTAAGGTGTTTCTTGTCATTGATATACATCACATGTTTTCATCCATTTCTTTACTGTATCATATATCTTTGGCTAATAATATTTGTGTACTAGTTTGTTAAAAGTTATGTTACGTTTTAAGTATCCTCCTAGAGGTTCATTGTGAATGTTATATAAAAGAAATTCAACTTTGGTTGATTTGATAATGAGGAGAGGGTTTGAAGGGTTTCAGAAATTTTGTTTGTAAAGAAGGTGATTATGAATAGTATAATATTTTGCTTGTTTTTGTATAGAAAGTTGTTGTGTAAATGTAAATGATTTAGGTAGGATATTTTGATTGGGTTAAATATTGATATAGGTTTTGATATAAGTTTAGGTCCATGTTAAATATTAGAGCCGTTAGTCACACTGCTAACGCTTTCACTTTCACTTTAAGTAATTTAATTTGACATTGAATTAATGAAAGGCAATCTAGAAAGGATATCAGCATTTTGATGTATTTTGCCTTTGTGATAGTGAATATTATAAGAAAATTCTATGATTTGTATAATCTATCTCATAAATTTATGAGATAAATTAGGTTTGATAAATAACTATTGCAGCGTGGCATGATCAGTGATTAAATCAAATGGTTGATAAAGGAGATATGTCTTAAAATGTTCCATTATCTAAACAACAGCGAGACATTCAAGTTTAGTAGACGCATAGTTCCTTTCAGCATTGTTAAGAGTTTGACTAGCATATGCAACTATATATTTCTTTTGTTAGTCATCCAATTAAGTTAAAACAGCACCTAGTCTCATATATGATCCATTAGTAAATAACAGAAACTTCTTAGAAAAGTTAAGGTAAATAAGGATAAGAACTGTAATCAAACATTTCTTCAAGTATTCGAATGTCTGCTGTTGAGTTTTCGTCTATTAATAAAGTATTTTCTTTTTGAGTAAGAGATATAAAGGTGCAGCAATAGTCAAAAAGTTTTATATAAATCAACGATAATATGAAGCAAGTCCTAAAAATTCACGAAGTTTAGTAATATTAGAGAGTATTAAAAAGTCTCTAATCTTTTCAATTTTTGAAGGATCTGAGATGATTTTTTGTCTATTTACAATGTGTCCTAAGAAAGCAAGTTTGAGCTTTTCAAATTCACATTTATCTCGTCTTAATTTTAATCCAACCTTTCTTAGTCGTTGAAATATATTTTTTAAATGGATAAGATGTTCTTCAAATATGGTTGAAAAGATAATGATATTATCTAAATAGACAGCTATATATTTTCCAATTTCTTCTCTAAAAATTTTATTTATAAGCCTTTGGAATGTTGCTGATGCATTAATTAAACTAAAAGGCATAATAGTGAATTTGTAAAGCTCATGATTAGTAATGAATATAGTCTTTTGTTGATCTTTAGATATCATAACAACTTGCCAGTATCCACTAGTTAAGTCAAGTGTTGTGAAGTACTTAGCTTTACCAAATATATCCAAAAGTTCATTGATATGTGAAAAAGGATAACAATCTCGTCAAGTCACACTGTTAAGTTTCTGATAGTCAACACAGAATTTTAGTTTGTCATTTTTCTTTCTTACTAGAATTACAGGAGAAGCCCAAGGACTTTTGGATAGTTGTATCAATTTATTTTTCAGTATTTTATTGACTTCCTCTTTAATAAAATCTTGTTCAGAAGGAGCAACTCGATATGCTTTTTAACGTATTGGCATATCGATTTCTAATAGTATATGATGTGTTTTCACATTAGTATGCCCTAGTTGAGAAAGAACATTCGCAAATAAATCATCATTTTGTTTAAAAAAATGGTTAAGTATTGCTGTTATTTCCCTTTCAAAGAGGCGGTGACTTTAAGAATCCTTGGTTTTTCCTCAAGAATATTCAAGAGTAATTGCAAGTGTTTCTATTCTTTTTGACATAAATTGTAAGTATCTATTAGCTTGTCAAGTCGATAATAACACAAACATTGATTTCCTAATCTTTACCAATGGTATTTTCATTTTTCATTGGTAGAAGGTTGAACATCAAACTTTTACTTTAAATTTTCATAGTATTGTGAAGAATATCGTTATTCTTGAATTAAAATTTGATCTAGCTTGACTTCAGCAAGGATTGGCTGACTAATATTATCTCCTAAAACTATATAATATCATTGTAAGATTAGAATTTCTTCTTCATATTCATCATTTACAGGATTTATCACTGGTATTGGTTACTGAAATTGGTCAAATATAGGTTTTTCCTAACAGGTTATTAGAATTTGATGTATAATTGTAAGGAAGTGATTAACCAGTAATTAGTAATTTAGGTTCACCGCAAGAGAACGAAAGTGCCTAAGGTAATAATAGACTGCATTGCACGTCGCAGTACTTTACAAATCGAATCATCACTAGGGTTAGAGGCTGGGTTCAATTCCCAGGTGAATTTGATGCTATAGGTACAAAACTACCATCTATGTAAAAGACCTGATCCTACAGTCTTGATAGTCATCAATAGGGTAAAACCCTATAAATTAGATTGGTAAAAATAGGGCCTGACAAGTTCTATGGTTGAAGTGAGCCCTCTATCCAAA